TATATATATATCCCTCTAGATTACATAGTGTCATCATGACTGGGCAGGAAGAAGCTTTCAGAGAATATGGTGACAGTGTTACTAGAGTGGGGAGCATGTAAATACTGCAATGTGTATAAGTGAATTGCATCCAGCAATTATGTTGTAACTGTAAATAAAGTTGTTTTGGCTTCCCAGTGTTACAATTTTATTTGTGCCATATACAATTCTCCTTTAAGTCTTTGAAGTGTTACTGGGGCTCAGACATAAATCCGCCTGCATAATGGCTCCTGAATCAGCAAGTATCTTTGCCAATTTGGTAAAGCCAATGCCGTAACTGCTACAGCTATGTATAAGTATTATTGTTTTTCATTTTACAAAAGATGAAAACAGCTAATTACTTTTTTTTCTGCCCCAATATGCTCTGTAAAGATTCTCTGTTGGCCTTATTACAGGTAATCATCAGACACCTTCCGGCAATTAATTTGCACTTGTTAATGTGTTATCTTTCAATTGTTCCCTAGGTATTTATGGGCAATTGGTAAAAACGTGTGGAAGAGATGGAAAAAACGCTTTTTTGTCTTGGTTCAGGTAACATATGCATTTTGAATATTTTAAAATACTGTTGCAGTTATTAAAATGCGTGTGCTGTTATAATGCATGATTGATATGTGTCACATAAATGTAAAAATCTATATTTTGTGTGTCAAGATGTCATTGCAACGCAATGTAAAAAGGAACAAAGCAAACCTACATATAATTTTAAAGGTTAAGTTCACCTTTCTGACCATGTTTCATGTTACACCCTTATTCAAGGTGTAACATAAAACATGGTCAGATCTCAACCCGCCATCCCAACCAAGGTACGGTCATGGACAGGAGGAAGAGTCTGCAGTACTCAGAGCATTTATTTATGAATATGTGTGTATTTATCTTTTTTTTTTTTTTTTTTTTTTAAAGGGGGAATTTTCCTTTAATGTTCCTTATAAATCACCTATATACCATTAAAGTGCTTGAGGACTGTTATCCTTCTATAGATACACTAATTCTGAACCAAAAAGATTTCAGTAGAATATTCGATAATGCCATCAGAGATTTGAAGAGCATCGATCGAAATTTCATTTGATTTTAAAAATTTTGGAATGAATGGAATTTCTCAAACGAATAAAACCACTTTCACTGTTAGAATTTCATTTTTTTTTAACAAAAAAAATTATATCCTTCTGATTTTTTTTTGTTGCCAATTTGACCCCATTAGAAAATTAAATGATCGTAACAAACTTCTACTGGCGTATGTCCATCTTTAGACGGGAGGCAATTATCCTACCAGGATGTTTTGAAAGTGCTTTATCAATAAGTGGATGCACTGCCCCTTTTTACTGCTATCCAGGGCAGAGATTTTTCCCTAGTTTATGTCCTGATGATAACAGTTTCGCCAGATAGGAAGTGAGAGAAAGTCTGCCTCAGGGATGCAGACAGAAATACAAACCTGACAGGCCTTCTCCTACTCTGCTAAAGAAAGGTGTCTTTATTTCTCTTTATTGCTGTCTGTGCTGCTGTCTATGAGAATTCCCCTCACTTCCTTTCTTTAAAAAGCTCAACAGGACAGGAAGTGAGAGGAAATCTCACTAATGGAATCTTGGATAGCAGTTGCCTCAGGCGTCATGTCATTGGGGGGCAACAGGGTGGTGGGGGGCGACCACAGTATCCCAGGTTTCTAAGAGCTCTTAGCAACCTGTGATGCTCGGTCTGGCGTCCCGACAAAGTCACTGACATCACCGGTTGCCAAGAGTTGAGTGGGGATGCTCTGGCTTGCATTTTTCCAAGCTCCTGGCAACCAGTGATGTGAGTGAGCTAGGCAGGATGCCAGGCAGATCCGCTGACAAGTGCGGTCAGGCATCCTCTGCTGCCCCCACAACCCCTCCCACCTCACCCCCCCCCCATGACAAGTGTTCCCTGTCAGCACCCCCCGGAACAACATGGCCTGAGGGACAGCCCTGGTTATAGCTCTTCACCAATTTATCCAAAAATAAAAAAAATTAAAAATAGAATTGGCTGAACACATACTGTTTAAAAAAATATGGGGCTGCCATTGGAGGCCTTCAGGAATCACTAGTTGCCTGGCTGCCATGCCAATCTGCCATGCTTTCCGAATCTCCCACCTAGAGCGAGAATATGGATAAGCTGTTCTGTCTTTTCCCTGGCTCCACTCAATGCATAGCGGTTCTGAGTCAGCGACCTGGAAAGCAGTAACGCTGTTAGATTAATATGACAGCCGGGGAACTGGCATTATGAGGAGCCAAACAGCAATGACTACCATGTTTCTCTTGGTGAAAATTTCCCTTTAAAATTTTAATAAGTCAGTATGTATTTAGATCCATTCAAAGTCCTGGCCTAGTCACAAGCTTGACCCACACAATGGCTGCCCGCACCGTATACGAAATGTAAACATTGGCTAGCCCCTCAGCAAGAGGGCAATGTAAATGCGTAAGTCTTTGGTCAGGGACATAGAATTGTAGGTCCAGAATATTTTTCTGTGCTATTGGCAGTTTGTATCCCCTGGTGGTTGGACAGAAATTACTGAAAAAAATAAAAAAAGAGCAGAATTAAGTGTTTTCAACCAGAATAAAGATGCCCGTCACCAAACAACTGTGCAGATGTAGATACATCAGATAAAGTAAAAATAACGCTTCTCTTTTTGTATCAGTGACCTCGCTAACATAAATCATTACATTTGCCAGCATTTATGACATATCGCTGTCATGAAGAGGCCTTGTTATGACAGGCAGGGCCTAGAGCCCACTGATGCTGATGCCTTCAGCTTCCTAGTGCCGAAAATATAACCGTTTGTTTTTTGTTTTTGCGCTGCTTTGGGTGTGGGGGTCACTTTGAGACACCTGAGTTCTATCAGTGACACTTGCCAGGGGGGGCTGTCTGTTGGGGTACAGAGTATCGATACAGCTGTAATACAATGGCCTATCTTAGAGGGGCCCTTATAGCGTTCTGCTTCTATCCACGCCGAGGTAACATGACCACCACCAAGCATTCAAATGCAAAAATGTGTTGAAAACGGAGATTTATTTGACGTTACAACTCTTAACAAGTGTTCTCTTAGATGTGACAGTACAGCATAATATCAGCCCAGAGACAAATGGCTTTATAGAAACATTCACTTGTGACAATTTGCATTCAAACTAACTCAGAGGCTGCAACTTACAAACTGAATGGTTCTAAATCCTTGCCCTGCCGTCCATCTTGTGCAGATAATTAAAAGAGAACTATGGGGTAAGTGTTTTTCCCCTTTGTTCTCTTAAGGGTCACGGGAGGACATATACTAGCGTCCACCCATGACCCAAAGCTCAATATATTGCGAACTACAGCTCACGGTGTTCTGAGACCGCCGCAGCCGGAACGGATCCCGACATTACTGTCGAGATCCACCGTGCTGCGTGAGTGACAGCAGGCTCTGCTTATCTAGAGGCAGAGCCAGCTGTGCCCGCCCCCTCCCCCGTCCGTTCCTCCAGTCAGCACTGGAGGATCGGAGCGGGGAGGGGAGGAATCCCTGCAGGGAGTGGTGACTGACTGTCCGTTCCTCCAGTCAGCACTGGAGGATCGGAACGGGGAGGGGGGGAATCCCTGCGGGGAGTGGTGACTGGCAGTCACCGCTCTCTGCAGGGAGATGATCGAGAAGTGAGCGAGCACTGGTATGTGTTCGCTGACTTCCCGATCTATTGAGCCGACATGTGACAGTTTCATTGTCACACATCGGCTCCAACTAGGAGGATGAGTGATTTTCACTCACCTCATTGTTCTCCTTTAAGGCCTCATTCATATTTGCCGTGCATGCTTGCGGTGCCATTTTTGGTATTGACACCCTAAACACGGCAAGCAAGATGTACATTTTGATGCACACAAAAACCCATGAAATGCACACGGCTCAAACAGCTGTATCAGCATCTTTAGGGCACTTAGGGCAGCCAATTGAAATGGATGGGTTACCCTGTGCGGATGCATAAAAACATGGCAAATGCACTCAAGTAGAAGGTTTAAAGATGGAAAAGTCTTAATTTTCTGAGTGGCCTTAAAATCAAGGGGTCTATTTACAAACAATTTGGAGGGCCATTTGCCCTGTGAATATCTGTGAACATTCATTCTGTGCAGATATATGCCAAAGCAAACATACTTTACTTGGTTCTTTACAAGGTAATGCATATTCAAATGTTTTTGTTCGTGTTATATTGCATTATGGCCACTAGATGGAGCTAAAGCAGCATTGAAAATAAGTATTTATTTATGCTAGTAACAGTGAAAGTTTTAATTATGGATAGCAGTAATAAAAATGATCTTTAGTAGCGTGGCCTATTTTTTTTTTTGGAATGGGCAATTTACAGTACAGGGTTCTTTTAAACCTGTGCCCCTCTCTTAAGCCTCACCTCATCCAATCACAGAAGACCTTGAAAAGAATGCAATACTTTTTTATGAATGGTAGCATGCAATCTGCTATGAGAACTGTACTAGAGCCATAACTGTAATTTTTTTGTACCGGACGTTTGCGGCTTTCAGTGGTTTACGGCTTTCATGACCGTAAGAGTAGCAGCCCGATCCAAGACAATAATCAGAGGTATTTTTTACAAGGCAACTGACAAAATATCGATTTTTCCAGGAGTTCAGCTTTCATAAATGCATATCAGTAATGTGATATCAGCGTGCAGAATGAACTTGAGTGTACACACATCCCATTCCACATTCCCATGAATTGCACTTGTCTTGTAGTACATCTTTTGTCCAGCAGATGACAGCAGCAACACACTGATTTTGAAGTTGTTCCTTCAAAGCAGAATCTGATCAGTCTCATCTTTTAGGAATCCAAATGTATATATGTAACACATTGGAAACCTTTTTCCATAATCCTGTGCTTGTCCTGAGTAACACCTATCTACTAAAGTAATTGTCCTTCATAATAGGCATTCTGCACGGTAAATTTAAAAAATACAGGAGCCACAAACTATTTAAAATGTGCATTTTAGGAACTCTGTTGCCAGAAAAATAAAATTTAAAGTAAAGTAAAAGGTAATGTTTACATATTTGCTCTATAGTGTCTTTGCATAGTGTCATCATGATCTGCATACATTAGTAACCCTGCTCACATGGGCTGCATGATTGAGGTAATTGTTAAAATAAGACTATGGAGCTTAGACTGTATCCTAAACTATCATACACATTTGTAACTTCAAATTTTGTAAGTATGCAGAAAAACTATTTTTAAACCATCCTATTAATCTGCTGCCTGCAAAAATAAAGGACCATATACATTTTACTGCAGTGGATACAGCCACACTTTGGCCCCACATATATTTCAAAGTAAGTTGGCTGAGTACACATTCATCTGTTGTAGAGCATGTGAGACCTTATCCATCCCAGCCATTGTCCCATAGACACAGAGATTACAAGTGTACCATAGTTTCAAGGATATGACAGATTTGGGTGGAGCTTCTGCAAAATTGTGACTAGGCTTTATCAAATTTGCCAGCTTCTTAGATGTGAAATCTCTCAAGAGTGATGCTTAGGGGGTCATGTTATTGGTTCCAGAA